CCCGCCACAAACGCGGCCACCATCAGCATCGTAAAAACCGCTCCCCAACTTTTCGCCGATATATATCCGGTCACCAACGGGCCGATGGCCGCCCCGACCGACCCGGTCCCGTCAATGATTGCTGTCACCGTCGCCAACGCCTTGGAATTCCCGTTTAACGAACTATGCGTTCCCAAATCGGCAGAGACCGCGGTGGTTATAAGGGCGTAGGGCCCGTTGACAAACATTCCAGTGATGAACATGAGGGCGACATTCCAGGCGAGCGAGATGCTTCCGTAGGAGCGGTAGAAAAAGAGGGAGGGGATCGCAAGGTACATGAAGCTTGCGGCAGTGACCGCACGGGGAGGATGCCGCCGACTACGCCTCCAACGTCGAATAGGGTGGACAGTGTGCCCGCAGTTGAGTCCGATAAATATTGGCCGTCAATGGCTGCAACATTAGTGACATGAGCTCGGGAAAAAAAGTCAGAAATACAAAATCAACAATAAATCCTTCATCCTAAAGTTTTGGTATCGGGTACATAAATCTTATCTTTCTTTCTGAAGTGACATACACATCATTCATTCAACATTTGGTTTAGACTTTTAAGACTGTTTTTGATCTTTTCTTTACCCCCCTTACTAATCTCATGTTTAGGCATGAGAAATGGGCAGGGCTTGCTCTGTTTCCTTTACAAATAATAAGTTACTGGATCATAATATATTAATTGTTCGTTCAAAATATGTTGGGTGATGAAGTAAATCATAGCTTTTGACAACCATAGGGAGTGAGCCTTGAGAGTGCTAAATATCTTGGACATGATCAAGCACTTTACAGTTTTGAGACTAATGACTCAAATGGAAGAAGTTTGTGGTCCAGAAGGAAAAAAGCCTGACATTGTGTGGCATCAACTCAACATAGATGAGCACCCATAAGAACCTTTGCACGTTGGTGTCTAATGCAAGGGTCATAATCAATGGTATCGTGTGTAATAATTTGATAATCAACTCCAAGTTTTGGTAAACATCAGCATATTTGTAGCTAGGACGATGAGGAATTTTGCATTATGAGGTTTAAGATGAACTATTTTGACCAAGATCATTGAATTTGGTCAATTTCTAGAGGCATAGAAAACTTGAAACCATCTTTCATTTTCCAAAGAATAACGCAAACCAACGAGGAACATCGAAAATGGATATTCTAACAGTCAAGTGTGCAACTAGTTTCTTTTAGAGCATTTTGGCACGGTTATGTCAACCAGCACATAATGATATCAGTATTTGTCTATAATGCATGAAAACATTGTCCTAACGTATAGAAAATTTAATTCAACCATCTCTTTTCTTATTCAGAAGAATAATTGAAATTGTCATCCAATAAACAATTTGTTCTAGCAAAGTTCTTTCAGAGCAATAATATCGCTAAGCCTGCATTTAGTTTTAAGTACCATTATCCCAGAGTATCCAAGAACAACAATGAATTTTCATAAAAAAGGACACAAAAAAAATTGCAGGGGGGGAAAAAGGACTTTGCCATACCTGTATGGCTAATGTAAAATGGAAGCCAATAGAGAAAAGTATAAGCCACCAATTTAGAGAAAAACAGACAGAGAGCAAATGGAGCAACCCCTGGAATCCTCCAAGCC